CACCGGGCCGCCTCTCCCGGCCCAGGCCGGGCCGGTCTGACCCGCGCGGAGACCGCCGCAAAGCCGCGCGTTCCCGGCATCGGGGCGAAGTTCTGCCACGGTGAAAACCACGGCAACCTTCGGCACAGCCCCCAAACCCACCCTGCCCCCCCTTCCTGGCATCAGTTGTTGCCTCGAGAGAGCAACAGGGCAAGGTTGTTGCCTTGAGAGCCACAAAGCTGGGGAGGGCTCTGGAGCGCAAGGCTTACGAGGAGCGGCTGAGGGAACTGGGGTGTTCAGTCTGGAGGGGGCTGAGGGGAGCCCTTACCGCCTCTACAACTGCCTGAGGCTGTAGCGAGGGGGGGGTCAGCCTCTTCTCCCTGGTAACGGGCGATGGGACGAGGGGAAATGGTTTAAAGTTGCGCCAGGGCAGGTTTAGGCTGGACATTAGGAAAAACTTCTTCCCCGAAAGGGCTGTCAGGCACCGGAATGGGCTGCCCAGGGAGGGGGTCGAGTCCCCATCCCTGGAGGGATTTAAAAGAAGGAATGAGGCGCTGAGGGCCAGGGTTTAGTGGTGGGATGGCAGGGTTAGTTAAAGGTTGGACTCGATGATCTCAAAGGGCTTTTCCAACCAAAGCGATTCTATGATTCTTGACGAACGCAATTCTCCTGTCCAAAGTGCCCTTTGGCTGCATCCGCGCCGTCCCCAACGCCGGACATGAGCTGGTTTCCTTCCAGACACTGGGAAGGATCCCTTCGTGCGTGTGTGTGTTCCGCGGAGCGCATGCAGCCCTGTCCCCCTCCCAGGGCTGGGCCACTCTGACAGCGTCCGTGTGTCCCCCCGTGTTTGCTTCCACCCAGGGCTGCTCCCCTTCTCCCCACCACTGCCCTCAGCTTTCCCCTCGGCTCCCGGCTCCCTCTGTTTTTCTCAGGCAGCATTTTCTGTGGGGAGCTGGTTCTGATATTTTACGTTAAACCTTTTCTTGTTCCTCAGCTTTGTCTGCCCACACAGCGCTCTCCCATTCTCTCAGCAGCCCTTTGGGTTATGCATTTTTGGTGCTAAGTTACACTATGGGTCTACAAATCTTTGCATACAGAATAGCGCTGAGTGCCACTGTGGTGGTGTATAAATAGCAAAGCGACTCTGTTTGCTGAACACCTTGTCCTCCGGCTTCCTGACTCACCTGGTGACGCTCGGCTGGGGGGCGGGGACGCAGCCCCATCCTGTCATTACCGGCCTGTTCCCGGCCCTGCGATGCCCCACTGCGTTTGGTGGGTGAGATCAGAAACCCTTCGGGAAGCCCCAGCTCCTGATTCCTGCCCCCGCCGACTGCCCTCTGGCAAAAATACAGCGCAACTGTCTGACAGCCTGCGGTTTGTTTCTGTGCTCGATGCTTACTGCTGGTTATTCCTGGCCTGGCTCTGGGATCCCAGGCCTCCGTGTCCAGAGCAAAGGGAGCACGGGGAGGCGTGGGACAGACTGGAACAAGGCCCTGTGACCGGCCAACGGAAGAATTTGGGTGTGCAGAAATACCTGGCTGGCGGGGGAGTGAGCTCAGGGTTCATCAGAAGAGGAAGGAGATGGATTTTCTGCCTGTGTGGAGAACAGGCTGGGGCTGCAGCTCTGTCAGCTCAGGAGCCCTGCCAGGGCCCCAGAGCCCTGCCAGACCCGCCGGGGCCCTGTGAGGGCCACTGAGGCCCTGCCAGTCCCCTCAGAGCCTCGTCAGGCCCAGAGCCCTGTCAGAACCCGCAGAGCCCTGTCAGTCCCACTGGAGCCTCGTCAGGCCTGGAAGCGGAGACCCCCGGAGCCCTGTCGCACAGCTCC